AAAAAAAAACTTGCCTGTACATCAAATGCTGAGAACACACTCTCCACACAATTAGCATCACCAACCATGGCTTTTTCACAGAGATGCCAGTAACAACGAGGTCAAAGCCTTTCAAATAACAGTCCCACAGAGAGCCAAACTAAATTTACATCTGGGAATTAAAAGTGTAATCAGATTGTCCTCGTGAAATTGTCTTTCATCCAGTCCATGTCCCGGGCTGCTATGATGAATCACATTCTACGAGACAATAAAAGGGAAAAAACGCAGACGGAGTGAGCCGGGAGATAACATCCACTCACGGTGGGGGATGGCCCAGGTTAACAAGTGTTTGTTCAACAACTCTTCAACAAACAGGATTAAAGACTGTTGTTGGATTTTTGCTGCACCCTAGAGAATTGAAGGCAGATTCCTCAAGTCCAAAGGTATTCAATCTTTCTCTATCTTGATCTGACCGCGATTGAATTTATCACTTTGTGCTTGTGATAAAAACGTGTTAGTGCAAGTAAATTTTACGTGCTGTGTTTTTGTACACATATCGAACAGTGGTTAAGGACATATCACCCTCACATCCACGGCAATCCATTTATCTTCAATCAAAGTCAAACATTTTTGTGGTACACTATCCACTTTATTTGTCCTGGAATTTTTACCACACACTTTGTGTGTAACGTCTAAGTATTTATGTACACCTTTAATGAACAGAACCATTTGACCTAAATGTAGCTAGCAAAAATATTGCAACTTAGCAATGTAGAATCACCATATAATAACATTATATTATGCATATTTCTCATACACAATACTTGAGATGAAAGGAGTTCTCATGTAATTTGAGTACCTTGATAAAAAAAAAAATAAAAAACTCCCCACCCTGGCAACTGTTTATTTGGTGTGCACCGCGAGGCAGCATGCAAGCACAAAAGCGTCCCAGTGGAAGCTTGCCCATATTTGGAAGTGCTTGCATAGCAGCCAACCAAGAAGTGGCAGGGTGTCTTTTCCCGCTGGTTCACATTGACAAATATGTTATTGAATGTGGAAATGAATAAAAAACCCACACAAAATACGCTTTTCCTGCTGGTTGCACTCTTGCTATTAGAACTCTGAAATCACTCCGTCACCTTCTCTCCTGACGGTGTGGTACTCAACTGGTTATTTATTATTAAGTGAAATGTCTTTCCTCCTGTGTATTCATTATTTCTCTTTAACCAAGTAAACAGTAGGATACTCAATTACTAAAATATTAGATAGTTCCAGGCCTACACAGTACACATTCTAATAAATACGATATCTGTCGTGTTCTATGGGTGGTGTTTGCATAGTTGCAGTCTGTTTAATTCAAAAGAGTCTCGCTTTTAACACAATCAGGCTCTGTTCGTATTCATTATTCTGCGACTGCACAGCTCCTGAACCCAACTGTGAATTTTTAGCTGCGTTTTCAAGTCTGCATGTTGCCTTGAATTAAAGTGAAGCTTTCGGGCAGAGCAGAGTCATGTCTTCATTGGGATGGATTCCGCTCTGCCCAGCAGATCATTATCGGAGAGCTGAAATCTCCAGTTGTTTTAACCATGTTTGTGATAGTGATGTTTTCAAAATAATCCATGTTATAATTAGCTTTAAATGAATGTTTGCATCTATTTATGTTAACGAATATGCAAACTTCTGATAAGATTTCGTAGCCAAGTCAATATTATTCATTCATAATATTGTATTCTGTTTCGCGTCATCATGGTTCATTTCCATTCATGTAGTCATGCTCGTGTTATGTTTTATCAGCCCCTTTGTGTACTTGGTATGAGCATAGGAGAAGGGTGTGACATGGAAATTTCTTCAAATCAATAAATAAAAAAAAATAAAATAAAAATAAAAAACACCCAGCGTTGTTTTGGTCATTTATTCTTGCAAGAGGTAGAGAAGTCAAAAGGAGTACAATCTGAGACCCCCCCCCCCCTTGCAAGTTCCCTGTCGATGCACAGTCAGCTCAATTTGCAATAAGCAAGCAAGACCGGATGCGGCAAGCTCAACATTGACACACGTCTTCAGCATTGGCTTGGATTGCTTCAATTCTTCGTTGCGGTTATTCTCCCTCAGTCCCTCAATGAATGGAGACGCTCCCCACCCCGGACCATCTAAATCTAATTATTGATTTACTCACTGAACCGAGCACAGCGCTTGCTGATGGGCTGCCGAATCAAGCGTCACACAAAAGGTCAAACTGAGAACACAAGTTCACGTCGTTTAATTTGTTCCGTGACCAAGCTTTCAGACGTTTCCCATCCATTTTACACATGAAAATGAATTAACCTGACATTAAAAATATGAAGCCACAATCAAAAACTACCACATTTTATGTTATGTTTTTGACCAAAGAATATAGTCAAATATAAACACGTAAGCATGAGAACATAATATTTCATGATATTAAATTAATGTTGACGTGCCTTTAAGAGGCGTGGCCTTATGACATCAGTAGCTCTGACTCCAGCTCAGATTGACCGTTTACAGCGCGGTTTGTTAGTTGGCATGCTTCATTCTCCTTGTGTGTCAGTCTGGAGATATTTAAAAGCCGTTTGAGTGATTGATTTTGATATAACCGGGTAAATCGGATTCAAATCTATCAGCGCACCAAATTTGCGAACTTTGATTTTTAAAGACAGTGACTCCAAGTGTATGCTAACAGCAATCTTTTCTTCTTCTTTTTAGTATGGATTTAGTAGTTCTCGATCCCTTGCAGGACAGGCAGCTAAGCGTACCACACTACAAATCAGCATTCTCGACTGAGATTCATCCGACTATCCCGGACTGTGTTGTTGTTCACCAAATTAGGAGCCTGTTTGGTTTGAATGATTTATGAGTCAGTATACTTGAGGTAGCAAATGTGTCCCTGCTTGCGTGTCAGTGTTTCGCAAGGCCCAACGTTCAAGCAATTACCGCATTTTGTAACGTCATGAATTTGGTGACAATGGGCCTTGCCTGCATCAATCTGTCATATTTTAACCCAACGTATCATGGGAGAATCTTCTCGTTTCTCTGAAAGGACAGAGGAGCAAGGATTTGGCTAATATATCTTTCACGCACCTTTGCAAACATGCACATGTACACGCACACACACATGCAACATAATCTCAAAGGGGCGACGGAATAGCTGAGGAGGGGATCCATGAGCTTATAGGACTAAATAAATATTGTCTTGAAAGAATGAGGCCTGTCGCAGTACATAAAAGGCATACACAAAGACGTGCGCGCACACGTACACACACTTTCACAAAGATCGACTTCGGTAAACCATCACAGTTCAACCTTGTACTTGAACAAAACCTGCAATCACTGTTAATAGTTATCGAGCTTTGCAATAATAGCAGCATATATGTGTGTGTGTGTGTGTGTTCATGGCAATTCCAAGTACCATTGCGAGCGAGTGCACTTTGCTGGAAATTCTGCCAACTATGTAGTTCTAAATGTTTTAGTTGCCAGATTTTTTTTTTTCTTTAGTTCTCGAAGTTCTCACTATGAAGTAAAGAGCCTTAGAGGGTTTGGACCTTGGTGATAAAATGAGTTGGGACAATAGATGATGAAACCAAGCCAGACTTTTGTGTTGATGATAAAAAAATGTAAAAATGATGACTGTTTTCATCAAATACACAGAGAAGGCTGGGTAAGACAGAATTAAACCAAGAGACACTCTTCATCGTGTTTATTTACTTTCAGGCAAAAAGGGGGCGGTGAGGGGTGAGGGGGGCAGATAAAGTGACGCAATTCTAAGAAACAAGTCAGTTATACTTTCTTTTTATTTTATGTGCAAGCATGAGGCGAAAAAAAAATGTTGTACGTGCCCTAACATATCACGATTTAGCAAGATGAATGAAAAAAACGTGAAATGGAAAAAGCGGGCTCATGTTGGGGTATAAACACATTTGTCGCAAGTCTGTTACATCAATACACATTTTATCCACCTCCAAAATTAATGGTCCATGCATCCACCATATGTGGCAAAATAATCGATTCCGTCTTTTTTTTTTTGTGTACTGTCATCCCGAAAAGAGAACAAGACAAATTATTCAACAAAAGCACTAGCCCTGACGCAAACGTCTTGAGGCTTTGTTTTGCACAAATCTCAGTGTTATTCACTGGCACAATGTTTTTTCTGTAATTCTGTTCTTCACGTAAAAATCATCACCTTTCATTGCTGTAGTTCCTCCATTTGTTATGATCTGAATCTGAACTGATTATCCTCACGAGGGTTCCTCCATTTGTATTCTTCCTTAAATATTCAATGAATTTTTTGAACATATTGAATTCAAATGAGTTAAAGCCATTTTGTGATTAAAATAATAAATTAACTATAATACTCAAAATACAACAAATTAGCATCATTTTATTATTTCAATCAACTACATACACATTGACTGAATTGTATATGAATTTTTTTCTTTTTTTTAACTCACCAAAGAATGATCTGGCCAGTTGACCCAGCTAGGTCTAAACGCTTGGTCCTCCTCAACCTGACTTTTTGAGCAACAGTGCCCTCTGTTGTTGCTAAAATGTGTGTGCGAGTGAGACTTGTCCAATTTTTCCATTTTCAACTCAATCGGTACTTTTGTCATGGTCCTGTATTCTCTTTTGTGTGACCTTCTCAATGTCGATGAAATCAATATTTGGAACAAAAGCAAACTAACAGCCTCAAGAAAAACAAAAAAAACGTCATTTTCCACGATCATTTATTTGTACCGACCGGCCTTTTGTTTTTTTTTTTTTTAAATTAAGGGACACCTGTGATGAAAAACCAAAAAGATTTCAACTTGTCAACAACATGGCCGTGTGCTGTAATTAAACGGTTTCATAATCGTGACAAAAGTCCTGCTAACAGCATTTCTGAGTTTTCTTTTTATTCATTTGACCAAAATCATTCAAACACACCTTCAAACTGTCAGGCAGATATGATAACTCATGAGCGGGTAAGACATCGGGTATACATACAAATGTGTTAGTTTGCAATATTGCCGTTTTTTTATTTTAAATTGACTTGATTTGACATTCCCACTCATTTTTCTTCTCCGTGTCTACTTTTGTAGTGCTCATCTGGTAGATTCCGTAACTTCTCTGCAGCCTTGAAAAGAAAAAGAAAAAGTGAGGCACCTTCAGGGACAGACGGTTGAGTACATTTCATTCTTGTGTCATCATTAGTCTCGATCTTGAAAGGCCTTTTGATAAAAATCCTGCCCTTTTTTCCCCACACACATACACAAAACATATCGATAATGAGTTTAACGCTTTCAGGGACAGCGGTTACTAGAGTGGACAGCAATTCAAATGTTATTTTCTCTTATATTAATTACTCTTCATGTCACAGTTGTGCATCAGCGCCCTTTATGTGTGTTGCATCCACTGCCATTATGATTATTATTTTTTTTTATGCCTAAAGACTAATTGAAAAAAAACACTTGAGGAAAAAAATTCAGACGTAGGTTATCAATTTTTATGCATGAAAGGGTTGAAAAAAAATGTCCGACTGTTTGAAATGAACAATCCGTGACTAGGTTGCCGCAACGGTGTTCCTTTTATTAAATCACCTGTTCAGGAGTGAGGTCCCGCTGCTCCATTGCAAGCATCTCATAGCCGACCATGAACTTCTTAACTGTGGCCGAACGCAGCAGAGGAGGGTAGTAGTGAGCGTGCAGTTGCCAATGTGAGTTGTCTTCCTTTAAGTAGGGGCCAGTCGGGGCTCCTGAGGGACGCAAAAAAAAAAAAAAAAAAAAAAAAACACA